CAGGAAGAGATGGAAGCCTTAATTAATAACCAGACATGGGAGATTGTGGATCTACCAGAGGGCAAGGAGGTTGTTGGATGCAGATGGGTTTACACAGTCAAAAATAAGGCAGATGAAAGTATAGAAAAGTATAAGGTCAGACTTGTTGCAAAAGGGTACACACAGACCTATGGCATTGATTATTAGAGACCTTTGCACCAGTTGCAAAGATGACTTTTGTCCGGATACTTCTTTCTCTTGCTGCCATATACTCTTGGCCCCGATTTCAACTTGATGTGAAAAATGCTTTTCTAAATGGAGATCTGCAAGAGGAAGTGTATATGGAACTTCCTGTTGGTTTCTATAGTGATGTTGAAAAGGGGAAGGCATGCAAACTTAAGAAATCATTTTATGGTTTAAAGCAGTCTCCCAGAGCATGGTTTGACAAGTTCAGGAAGGCCTTGGTTGCTTTTGGCTACACTCAAACTCAATCTGACCATACCTTGTTTGTGAAGCGGAGGGGATCCTTGGTGACAGTCCTAATTGTTTATGTGGATGATACTGTTGTCACAAGAAATGACCTGAGTGAGATTCACAGTTTGAAGAATAATCTACACAGGGAATTTGAAATTAAGGATCTTGGAGAGCTTAGGTACTTCTTGGGCATTCAAGTTACAAGATCAAAACATGGAATCTTTATTTCTCAAAGGAAGTATGTTCTGGATCTTCTACAAGAAATAGGGAAGCTTGGAACAAAGGCAATTAGTACTCCTACTGATCAGAATCATAGAATTAATGCATAAGAAGGTGAGCTGGTAAAGGACATTGGGAGATATCAGAGACTTGTGGGGTGGCTGTTGTATTTGTGTATAACAAGACCAGACATCTCCTATGTAGTGAGTGTGGTGAGTCAATACATGCATGCCCCACGAGTCTAGCATTGGGAGGACAGGATTCTTGCTTATCTAAAGGGACACCCAAGCAAAGGCATACAAATTTCCTAATCATGGACAGTTGAAGCTAGAGGCTCATACAGATGCTGATTAGGCAGGATGCCTTGATGACAGGAGATCTACTTCAAGAGTCTGCACCCTTGTTGGGAGTAACCTAGTCTCATGGAAAAGTAGGGCCATGGCACATGGAGTTTCAGAACTTCTCTGGATCCGTTCCTTGTTAGGAGAGATTGGTGTAAAGGCAAAAAAACCTATGATGCTGTAATATGATAATCAGGTAGCAATTAACATTGCCCATAACCCAGTTCAGCATGACCGAAAAGCACATTGAAGTGGATAGACATTTCATCAGAGAAATGGTGACTTCTGGGGAAGTTTGTCTCCCATACATTGCTTCTGATTTGCAGTTTGCTGATGTTCTCACAAAAGGTGTTACAAGGAACAAACTAGAGCATGACCTACGCAAGTTGGGAATGTGTGACATTTACTCCCAACTTGAGGGGGAGTGTTGAGTTGGGCCGATCTCTAGTTATTGGGCCCAGTTATTTATCCTTTATTTTTAAGTTGTTAAGTTAGGAAGTTATTGGGCTTTAGGCCCATTAGTTTATGTTTTTTAAGTTGTGACTGTTCAGCTACTTAAGTAGCCGCCCTACTAAGGGCATTCTTGTAATCTCTTATTCTTTTAATTTGAGTATATAATACAAAGAGGGRTTGGCGTCCAGAACTAATTTAATTCTGGTTGGCATCCCACTCCTTTTCTTCTCCTCTCTTCTCTCTACTGCTGAAACTCTTCATCTTCTTTCACAAGGAATTCATCTAAAACTACAATCAATGGTTTCTACTATACTTAAGATTTATATTATATCTATTACTAAAGTTGGTTTGAAAGGCATTGGTTCAAGTCTCAAAAATTTATTTTCAATATATTTGGTTAATGATATACAATATCAAAGTCATTTTTAGTTTATTTTAGTAAAAATATATAACATTTTGATCATTTTTAGTTTAATTTATTAATGCTATTCAATATTTAATTACAATCTGAATTCGATTCAAATCCGAATATAAATGAATCAAACTTGGAACTACCCTATATCTGATCTGATCCAATCCTTCTGCAGCCCTACCTGTCAATTAGTAAGTTGTGGACCACACGAACTGTATCATTACCCATGATGTGGTCACCTACTAGGCTGACTATAACTAATCAACCAAAATATTATTATATATGCATATTTTATATGAACATGTGTTGGTTTAAGTGTTTGTGATGGCATGTGGGTGGATGGAGGCATATAAAATAGAAAGAAGGCATGAAATAGAGGGAAAAATATCAGAGGTCACTATCTTCTTCCAACCTGTGGCATGCTTTTGTAGAGAAGTTTTTATATTGGCTTTATTAAACCAGGGGACTAGACTAGCCAAGCAAGATCTCTCACTCTAGTACACAACCATCCCAGCCCTATCTCAGCCCATTTGGTCTTTGTTTTTAGATAGAAAGTGGTGCATATCCATTGCACAGGGAGGGAAAGACACTAGTGATTGCCTCACATACTGACAATACTGTATATCAGTTCAGTAAAAATAAGAAAACCAAATAAAAACTTTGAAAATATAAGTGTTGGCATCAATAGATCTGTCATCTTTCCTGACATCTTGTTTAAGGGTGCTAAATGCCAATGCTTCTTTTTGATTTATCATGGTATCATCAGCAATTCAGCATTTTGCAATAAGTTTCATGCCAGTAGCCAGAATGGTGTCCAAGGTATAGGGGTTAATGTGATTATGTAACCACCTTATCTATAAGTGAATGAAACCTGGCATCGCACTGAAAGATAAGGGGAGCCGGGCAAAGGATAGTGCTTTAGTTGCCTAAATAGGCTCTTTAGTTAGCCCCAGCCTTCTTTCATAGATGTGGTCAACAATGCACTTAATTGGGTTTTAAATGGGCCTTATCATATCGGTTCATAATAAAGTCCATTCCTTTACTTGATGAAAATAATATTATAAATTTCATTTTCAACAGATATGTATAAACATGTCAAGCAACTGAAAGATAGGTCGGCTTACTCCCACCTAACCCTATTAGTTTAAATTCTACAAGTAGGCCCAAAACAGTTGTTTAGCCAATTTATGAGCCAAACTGTTTGCAGATCTTGGAATCCAACAAAAAATTGATTCTAACCCACCACCACATTGGAATCACCTTCTACTTTCTTAGATTTAATAATTTTCCCATTCTGAGACCTTGTAGGACTGCTAGCAATTCTGCACTTGTAGGGTCTTATCTTTATGTATACTTCTTATTAATCATAAAAAGGGGGCAACTTCATATACAGCACCAATGCACACAAGAGAGCACAATTAAGAAAAACTTTTAAGAATTTGGATCTTCTAACAATTCAAAATACCAAATTACACCCAATTTAGTCATTTGATGAGAGGGTGACGTAGGGTGGCCTTGCAGATGATTCAATCTCTCAAATAGAATTAAATGAAAAATAAGAGAAGATAGATGGTGGATATACATCCCTAATCAAGTATTGAACCACACTGAACTCAATATGGGGCCTTTAATTAAGTCACGTCAAAGAAGGAAACAAAAATCAATATTTTATTCTAAATTTTGCAATCTCTATATACTAAACAACATAGCATATTTCAACCAAAGAATATCATCCAGGCCTTGTAGGGGATAATGGCATCAAAATTTTGGAAGATAAGCAGACAGGACAACAACCTTTTAAAGGCACCTACCCAAATACGCTTAATTTAGTAACTAACAAGGATGCCACTATTCTCCAAAACAAAAACCAATGCTAACTTAAACTATCAAAAAAAAAAAAAAAAAACACTGAACAATATAAAGATCTCATCTAGACTTCTCTGCTATTTGTAAACTGGCCATCATTAAATCCATATGCAAATTGTGTAACCAATACTAGGCTCGTTGTATATAGGTAACTGAATAACCTATCTAATTATAACAAAACACCAAACAAGCAAGTTTTGTCTCCTCATCTTTAAGTCTCAACTTGAGTGAAAGATTTAAGATGGATCTCTCTCACGTTTATGAGTTTAGGCTCAGTTAATTCACAATAACTTGAGATATTAACTTCTTTGCTTCCTGCATCATAGGCTCTGGTAAACTTCTAGTAAATAAAACATCCTTGATTAGAACAGCATGTAATGACCAAAATACCCCATGATCAAATATCTGCATGTATTATGGGATTTTGAACTCAACTTCAGACCCAATAATTGTATTATGAGATTAAAAAAAAGCAGATTAACTGCTAGCATAGGCAATGGAGTCCCAATGATCAAATATCTGCATGTAAAATTTCTAGTATTTCTTATTATTCCTAACTACATCTGGAGGCTTTTTGTCTTCATTTATGGAATACCCTCAGTGTCCCTTGGACTAATGGTAGTTATTTATTTTCTTTTTACTTAAAAGAATAATAGACTAGCATCATCCAACAGCCTCTATCACCATGCAAAGCCTACACCTATGTCCCAGCAGGTGCTTGTTTTTATGGTAGGCAGCAACCTAGAACCCAATGTCATAATTGGGTGTCTCATCTGGGCAAAAATAAGGAAAATTATTGCCATCATTATACTGTTCAGCTAGAGGACTCAAACTCAAGTAGGGCGTTACAAAGGCCCATTTCCAACTGGATCAAAAATTCAAAGAAATCGGATAAAATATTCTAAACTAATGACACAGTCAAAGTATCTTAACTCAATCTCTTGCTTTAATCATTCTCAGCTTTCAAGCAGTTGGTTAAGTTTCTCCAAGTACTTGGCTAGGTTTTTCAGAAACCCATATAACTCCTTGGTTCAATAAGATTCTTAATCTCATTTAACTAAGAGGTGAGATGCTATAACACAATTTGAATCCAACATAGTAAAGTACTTAATTTAAAAGTACCATTCAAATATGTAAAGGTGCACAGACATGTATCTCTAAAATTTGATCAGAGAGTAGCGCTTGAACATCTAATGGAAGAGAGAAACACAAGAATATGTAATATTGGCACCTTAATGATATTCAGATAAAAATACCTGCTTTGCAATCTCCTTGCGAACAAACTTGTGATGTTCAGGTGACTTGTACAACTGGTCTGAAAGCGCACGGAACTGCAAAACAGGGAAATAAAAACAAAAATACTTAAAGGAATGCAAATTGATTTCATAAAACACCCTTTAGTGATAAAGGACAAGGACCTGACAATTTCCATCCCCAGAGACCTTCACTTCATATAAGCCATAAACATTTAGCCTGTAATGAGAAAATAATGGCTTAGCACATTACCTATCACAGAAAATCAACAAAATAAAATATTAATCAAGGAAGCTAGCATCTTTACAAATAATGAATAATAGAAATGAATTGAACAGTTGCAGCATGTTACTTGAAATGCTTCTGTATATGCCTATAATGCATTAGACAAATGAAGATTGCACATTGAGCAAAAGTTCATTTAGATCATGTAAACTTAAGAATTCCCATTTTATAAAGGTCTATACTTATTGAAACAATTAGACTTAAAAATCTTGATATTTGGAAAAATTGAAAGATGGTTATCTTGCTAACATTAAGATTCAAATCCCACGGAGCATATCTGATCTTCCAACAAGTACAGTGAAAATCTTTCAGTTACCCTCTGAAACCAAAGGGCCTAATAGAGCAAGGGGAAGAGCAAACAAAATGATCTGAGGAGTTACAATTTGACAGAAAGCATAGCTCTCAATGGAGCACAATGGCAGAATGGGATTCATGTAGCCAACCCCAAACAATTAAGATTAGTGTTGAGTTGAGTACTGAAATATTTATCATGTTACTAGAGTGACAATTATTTCTTTGACAATTACAGAGTAAAAATGATACTGATGTTAGATTAAACTTGAAACAAATACATCTTAACACATATAGGGGCTTTACATTTAAATTTTAAACAAAATGTACAGAATGACAGTACATGTAAAGCAGAGAAACATATTTAATAAAAGAAGTAAACTCACTGGAACATTGAACCCCTATGCATCTGTAAAWTTGATTTAAACGCAATGCCAATTAAATATTCTTATTTTCATCATTGACACAAATAATGGTTGTTGCTATAAGCCAAACAGTCTTTTGACCGAAAAGGTGAACTTTAAAAAGGCATAAAWATTACTTTTAATTTCAAAAGTTGTGTACATAAAAGATTAACAGTCCATGGCTTTTGTTGAAGATTAATTAGTTTTATGATGTTTTTCTGAGTGGATGTTTTATGTTAGCTGTTAGATAGGAGGTGGGGACCACAGTAGTTATGTGAGTCCAAATTTTATTATGTATTTGAGTGTTATATATGCGGTTTTATGTTTTGCCGCCCTATAAGGGCATAGTTGTCTTTGTACTGTTCTATTATTTTAGTATAAATAATAAGTGAAGGGGGCAGCTAGATTATTGCTCTCTTTTCTTTTCAACTTCTCTTCTTCTCCTTCTCTCTTCAAGAAACTACTTTCTTTCATATTTTTTAATTCAGCAGATTCCTACTTGGTATCAGA